TCTGGCACTGGGTGAGCCATTTATCATGCATATCGCTGGGTAAGCTGGGTATGGGTATGGATATTGAAAGTGAAAGATTTCCTCCAATGACCAATGACTGTCCTTCAACCGCCATTCAGTGTCGTCTGGGAATTTCTGCAGTGCTCGGTTGGGGAATGGACATCATTTTAGCATTTTCCACATTCTGTCATGTTCCAGGTGCTGATGTTTATTTGTATAACAGCCACATGTTTCAATTGGGCAACAAATGTCGACATGTTGATGGTGAGTTCGGACTTTTCTTAAGATATGAGCCCCATTTAAAAGTCATATTTCTTTAAGATGTTACACTCTTTGGTGAAAATCCAGTTTGGGGAGAGGGCACTCCACTGAGTTCTCCGATACTTATGGAGTGTTCATAGTTGGCGATCGTACGTGCGATTAGGCGAGTAGGCGAGTAGGCGATAAGGGAAGGATACGTATTGATTTGTTGCTCCGCCCATTGAGCGATCGCCTAATCGCCTATCGCCTACTCGCCTACTCGCCTACAACGCTCTATGGGCGGAGCAAACCAATCAATACGTATGTAGTCTTCCCGCCTAATCGCCTAATCGCCTAATCGCCTAATCGCCTAATCGCACGTACGATCGCCAACTATGAACACTCAATTAAGATAAGAACGAAAGCGCAGATGATACGTAATCGACTCCTTCAAAGTCTCTCCCTGACAAGTGCCCGTGCCGTGTGGAAGTAACCCTAAATTTGGCCTGCAATGGTCCAAGGAAACGGTCCTGGACCAGGAGAAAGGACACCTCCGCAAAGGGCTAAGGGTGCAGGAGCTCCAGGGTGGATCACCTGTGCAGAAAAGTGGATGGGATGTGGGCAGGTAGTGTGGAATGTAGGACATCCACCGGTCCTTATCAAAAGTACGCTCGAAATGAGTCGTTCACTTATTATCTTATCCGTAGTGTTCGATAGCCCAAAGAACTGCTCTCTAGTACTACGGATAAGATAGCAAGGGTTGCCCCCCCCCCCCCCCCCAGGACTGGATTTTCACCCACTCTTTCTTGTTGCTTCTCCTTTCTCCGTTTATCTGCCGCTAAGCGACATTTTGTTAATGTGCACTATGAACAGCTGACTTTTTTGCCCATCCTCTTGTACATGACTCTAGAGGATGCATGGAGTTCTATCATAATAGAGTGTAGTACATATTTTGCAGCACAATTGCTTAAATTTTAGTGTGGAATTTGTGCTTATTCCTATTTTTTTACGTTTCCTGCAGATGCTTCAAGCTATACTGCTGAATTCTTCCCCTCTCTTTGATTCTTCCACCTTTTTTCGAATTTTTCATATAACAAAAAGCGTTTTTAAATTGATAATCTCTTGAGTAAACTTCTAGGAACTTGTTCAAAAATTTCAATTTCAAGGTCATATGACTGCAGTAAAGCATAGTAGTACAATTTCTACAATTTCTTGTTCATCTTCGTATTCCCTTTCCTATTAGTTCATATTATTCACCGTAAGACGCGATAATGACTGAAACGCTTTTGTACTTCGCAAACTTAGTACAGTTCATAACCAGGTTGCCTTGTCGCCATATCTCTGAGCGCAAAGTACTATTTTCAGGCCGTAGTTATTCCAACTCGAAGAAATGCAGCGAATTCATGGCAAATTCTGATTTCTCATCTTTGTGGTGACGCCTCTGGACCGTACATTCTTGGATTGGTATGATATTCATTTCAGCTTTGAAAAGCAGCTTCCAGTGGTTATTATAAACTAGTCAAATCTTCCTTGCTGTATAGCAAGCGTTCGTGGAACTAATTGTCTCATAGCTGTATGAAGTCTTGCGAAGAAACAGATTCAAGTTATGACTAGTTTCTGGAAAGCACATTATTTGACGTGGTTCAGACGCGCCTGAACTCTAATTTTAGGCTTTGATAAATGAGAAAATCTGCTCTGGGAGTCTACTCCAAGAGCAAGGGTGAGGCGGCCATGAGTTCTAAAGTGCTTAAAACCACGGATAGCATATTCATGTTTCAGCATATTGCTAGTCTGCTCAAGAAATCAAATGGTTCAGAGCTACGGGCTCAAAGGGTGGAGGAGAACGCGGGTGCCAGAAGCATTTTGGGTCTCCCTGGGGGAGGGAGGGGAAAGGGCTTCTTCCTTCTTCCTTTGTAGGCTTAGTCCCAGCTGCTCACTAGGTGAATATCACTATCCATAGACGTTTATGTCATGCCCGTTCTGCTCTGTGTGCTCCCCGTAATCATGGCAGTTCTCATCGTAGGACTGAGGTTGCCAAGCGAAATCGGTATGGGAGGGCATCGGTTTGATATTTCTGACTGTTCTTCCATAAAGTTGGCCTAGTATAAAAAAAAATTGTAACAAATATTTGTGTAGGGATGGCAAGTGATTGAGCGTGAATTCAGATCTCGGATGCAATTCGTGGAGATGACGACACGCCATTAGGCCATTTTCATTCGTTAGTGATGTCCTTCTATCTTTACAAATGCTCTGCGTGGCATCGTCAGCGCCGTGCTGTTTCTCGGTAGTGCTTATCTTGGTGTCGCCGACCAGATGAAGTTCCAACAGAATGGCGTAAGTGGAACAGTGAGGGTCTTCTTTTCGACTTCCCCACTTTGATTTGATTAGCAGTGATTTCGTTGAGATTATTAACTTGGCAACAACGGGGTTAGGGTTTTTTCACGCTGGACTGAGCGATTGGTAACGCGCTATCTTTCCTTATCATAGCCTTCGAGGATACATTATGGAAGGTCGTATAACTTCGTATAATAACTGCTATACCAAAGTTGTATAAGTGGCTTTAAAGGAAGCGATTACGATAAGGAATTTTCGCATCGGGGGAGAACCTGCGCCACACGGAGCAATTACTTGGCTGCCAAGGAAGCGATGTGTGGCGCTCCCACGGCGAAAGGTGCTGTGGTTGCTGAGCAGGATCCCTTTGAGATCTGTCGTAATCGCTGCCTTTAAGTCTTCATTCAGTCTGGGGCTATCGCAATATGCGGGGGCATCCCCTAGGACTAAGCCTAGGAGAGGGCAAAAGCTAGGGGAGAAAATGAGCATGGCTCACTTGGGCCTTTCCTCCCCCACCTAGGCTTAGTCTCGTTTTCAAGACATGTTTTACGCGGTTTTAAGTCCATTGCCATGACTATGCCCCCGTATATTATGATAGCGCCTCTTTTACAAAATTCTACGAAGCGGTTAGATGCATGGCCAATCCGCTCAACAAGTACAGTCTCGCGTACGCCAATCCGCTCAACAAGTACAGTCTCGCTCATTATGCCTTAATTTCACTGATTATTCTTTAGGTGTCATATCAGAATCCTCAATGCCATCAGCAGCGCTGCCGAGGGCATCGTCGAGTGAGGTGTACCCATCCACGCATGAAAATAAGGCATTTTCTCTCGAAGAAACAACGAAGATTTGATGTCGACGAAACTTCGGGGAAATGTACTTGTGTGTAAATATGTCGATTATGTGATATCAAATGTTTAAAGTGTATGTCATTCTTTATTCTCTCGTTAAAAAAGACCCTTCAAGCATTAGAGGATCCTCAGGTGCTTTAATAAACTTTACTGCTCTGTTAAGCATGTCTTGTCAAAAAACCGCATTTCACCACTCAAAGTTTTGCTCCTAACCCAGCATTCTTGTGAATCACTCAAAGTAATGTTCCGTAGAGGAAAGCGGAAGTATCAAAGTTGATGAAATTGTGGTGTGCAGCATCATTTGAAGTTT